CTTAAACCTCACACCAGTCTTATCAGCATTCTAGGCAGGGTTTGTAGCGTAGGTGGATACAAAAACGCTTCCACTTATGCTTAAAGGAAGACGGTTTCAAGACTATCAGTAAATCTCGATTCAGAGCTCTAGTCAGACTGAATCACAGTTGAGGAGGGCCCGATAATTAAATTTTCCCACAGCGATGTGAGTGGGCCCTACACGTCCATTGAATTTTCTTTAGCCTTGGTTTTCAAAAGGTATTATCTCACAGAATGAGCTGAGGTTACGGCCTCGCCTGGGTCTCATCAGGGCCACCTGCTAGTTGCACATTTACGACTCGAAGCTTGTTGGGGGTGCGGATGAGACCTGGATGAGATGGAAACTACAGTCCAGCATGGATGAAGCCAGTCTTTTGTAATATATAACGAAGAGAAATTCAATTTAATCGTATAAAAACTCTCCACCCTTCCTACAAGATAACAGACAAGACTCTCCAACAAGCTGTTAATAATAAAAACTTTACCAAAATGGTCAGTGAACTTCCTTGAAAAATGAAGCCCGACAACAGATCTGGTGGGGATTTATAGTTGTTATGCTAACAAATAAATAAAGAGAAAACTTAGTTCAGCTACTGAGTTTTTGTGTTGACAGTTTAAAAAAGACACGATAATTATGGTGCTTTCTTGATTTTAAATGTTAGAGTGGATAACGATTGGTGTCAAGAAAAGTTTTAGCAAATTCATATCCAGTGTAGCCATAATATCTTACGATCGTAATTATCAAGTCTTAAGAGTTAAACATAAAAAATAAAGTAAGGAATAATTTTAAAGCTTATCATACCGGACATTGTCAATGCTCGGAAATCGGCAAACTCGCAAAATTTTGGCATTCGAACCGACGGCATACAGACGACCGGTCGGATGGAAAGCCACGCAACGAACGGCTTGGCTGCACTCAAGCACTGTAACCGGTACATAGCGCAAGAGACCTTTCTTTGGACATAACTCAGAGTAGGCACTGATAGTAGCCTCTGACTCAGTAGTAACATCAGCTGCAATTAATCGTGTCGATGAAGGAGCCTCGACATTAGGTAAAATAGGGCTCTCCAGACTCTGTGAAGTCTAAAAAGTAGGAGGTTAGATGATGGAAGTTGGAAATGGATATAAATCTGTGTAATAAATGAAACATATATAAGAAACGGAAGAAAATAAATCATGTAAAATAATGAAAATAGGATGGTAAGAACGAGGACAATGATGGATGAATTAGTGAGACAAGAGTAAAAAAATATGATTATAATGAATTGTTAGAATATAATAGCGTAAGTAGGAGGATGAGGGGGAATAGTTGTTATAACGATAAAAAAATGACAATGGAAATGTAGGGTCAAAGAAATACGGACGAATAGAGAATTGTGGTAAATTAGGTATGGCCTTTTATTATCTCTGGATCGTCACGGGTTAGAATACCGGCTGGCCAGGGAAGCTATGGTAGAAAGTGGTGCATACACTTGAGTTACTGAAAGTCTCGTTTCCAAAATGAAAAACTAGGTATAATTTCTTTGAGGTAAAAGGAAAAAGCATAGCAAGAATTAGATGTAGCTCCACCATAGTCTAGAAAAAACACTTATAAGTTAAGGAATATAGGACTGCAAAATAGGATATATGGAACTTTATATTTTATTGGAAG